TCGGGGCCCCGTCCGCGGCGCCCTCAGCCTGGGGGTCGCGGGCCCGGCGGCCGAAGCGCTGGTGGCCGCGGGTGCCTCTGGGAAATGGTGGCCGCATGAGCCCGATGCTTTCTGGGAAGTGTAGTTCTGCGCCTTGTGCTGAGCGGTGGGACCTGGCTGAACCCTGAGCTGAACCTTCTGGTGCCCAGACTGGGAGCGAAGCGGGAGGGGAGTTCTTTGCGCCTTGTAGGCCGAGGTTCTGTATTCTTCCGGATGGTGTGGGAGGGATTTGTGTTTTAGCTCTGAATTTGTATAAATGAGCATGAGGTCCCTAGATAGTGACCAAGAATAGACCCATTTCTCTTGCAGTTATTCAGCAGAGTGTTGAGCTCTTGCTAGTGCCAAGCCAAGCCAAGCCAAATTGGAACAGGTCTTTTTTTTTTTTTTTTTTCGAGATCGTATTGGGTTAATAATACCACTTAGTTAATGCGGGCTGATCAAGTCTGCAATCTCCCGAGGGAGTGTATGGGCGAAGGTTAAATGAAAAGAAGCAATTGGAGTGATTTCAGGGCTCCAGGAGGATCAAAGCCCTGTCACAGAATTGTAGAACTTCTCGGGGCTAAGACCACGACCTTCCCTGGGTGGCCTATATTTATTTAGTTATCAGAAGAAGGGAGGGGAGTACTCAGGAAGTTAAGAACCACTCAAGGACTTCTCCCAGTAAGGTGTTAAATTAATGCACCTAGCAGTGAGATGCCTGAGGCTACAGTCTTTATCTAGTTGAGGTTGGATCCAGGTTTCCTTGACTGTGATCTTTCTTATCCTTTGAGGCTTTCCAACTTCCTTGGCTTCATCACCACTACAGGCCTTAGTAGGGATTAGTGACTCACAGAGGTTCACTTACTATGAGTCTACCACCCATCTCCAGACAAGGAGCCTAGGCCTTGGACAGACTCAGAAGTAAACATGAAAAGCCAGTTGGTTAATTTAAGTCCTGCTCAGGTCTGCTTCATGGTGGTCTCCATCAAGATAGGGTCTTGCTATGTAGTTCAGGCTTGTCCTATACTCATTATATAGCCCAGGCTGGCCTAAACTCTCAGCAGTCCTCCTGCCTCAGCTTACCAAGTACTGGAATTACAGGAGTGCACCTCCATACCTGTCCTTTAAACAATCTGAAATACATCAGTGAACCAAAAGAAGATCATTGTCCTGAAAAACTTTTGAGGGGTAGGGAACAGACAATAAACCATGTACATAATTATATAACATTTGTTATAGCTTATATCTAGATGATCTCCCAAAGCCTCATAAACTCATATGTGGTGCTTTTGGGAAGTGGCTGGATCTAGGATGTGTGATACTGGGACTAGGGTGTGTGGTATTAATTTATCATTTTTAGTTGAGCATAATGGGTAGTCCCACCCTTGGTGTGGGTGGCACCGCCCACAAGGCTTGTAGCCTGGATGGAATAAAAGGCAGAGGAAGGCCTTCTGCTGTTGTTTCTTTTCCCTGCTGCCTGCCTGCTCTGCCATGGACCGTTTGTCCTCTGCAGTGCTCCTTTACCATATGGCCCTGCCTTGGGGCCAGCTGACTATGCACTGAAACCTGTACATACTGTGAGCTGAAATAAACTTTTCCTCCTTTAACTGGTAGTTGTTGGGTACTTTGTTCCTGCAACAAGAAAGTAATTAAGACAGTATTTTAGAGGATAAGTGTTATGGTAAAAAGCAAAAGAATAAGCCAGTGTTATGGCTTGTGTTTAGATGTGCCCCCAAAGCCTCACTAGTCATAGGTGGGGCTTTATCAGAGGTGGCTGAATCTAGAGTGTGTGACTGATTCATGGTGCGGCGATAACATTAAGTGTGCTAGGATTAAGGGTAGGTGATTACTAATTCAGTCCACTGGTTCATTTGGCAATGCCCCAGTTCTAGTAGCTTGCATACAATATAAGGGACAGGAAGAGGCTTGTTTTGTCACTTGCTTGCTTTGGTACCTTCTGCCTACCATGGACCGTTTCTCCTCTGTGACGCTCTTCTGCCAACCCACCCTACCTTGGAGTCACCTGATAATGGAGTGAAACTTCTACAAACTGTGAGCTAAATAGATTTTCCCCCTTTAACTTTGAGTGTCAGGCATTTTGTCTCAACAAGGAGAGAAAAGTAACTCAGACAGCCAATGTCCCCTATTAATACAGATGCAAAATTATTTAACAAAATAGCAGCAAATTCAATTTGGCAGTATATAAAATGGATTGTACAACATGAACAATGAGCTTTCTTTCCAGAATGCAAGAATGGATCAACAAAGGAAAATCAATGTCATAATAGGCCATAGTATTAGGATGAAGGGAAAAGAAAACTCTCATGTAGTCCCCTAAATACAGTAAAGGTATTTGACAAAATTCAATACATTAAACATAATAAACTAGGAATGGAATGGAACTTCCTCAACATGATAAATACCATATGAGAAAAACCCACAGCTAAGGGCGTGGTGGCCCACACCCATAATCCTAGCACCAAAGGAAGGTTGCAGCAGGAGGGTCAAAAGTTCAACCTCACCTAGACAACTTAGAGTCTATCTGAAAATATCAAACAAAAAGGAGACGTAACTCATTAAGTAGAGTTTCCCTGCTTTTGATCCCCAGTACCTAAAAAAAAGAAAGACACCTACAAGGAAAGCCCAGTCACAGATGCTGTCTCTGGTCCTTCAGCAGGAGAGTGTGGTACTACAGGATAATTGTCAAATTTTAGACCAAAATAGAAGCTTCAATTTTATTCTTCCAACAATAGAGAGGACTAGATCTATAGCATCCCCTGGAGCACAGCAAAGCCTATGAAACCTGCGACCTCCACGTTTAGGGCTTTGAGGTTTCCAGGGTGGACTTTCCTGCTAGTGGCCACCTTCAGGCTGGAAGGGTGTTTCCTGGCAGCTTCCAGCTGGGCTTCCTTCTGCCCTTTGTCCTGTGCCCCTGCTGGGACTCTGTGTGGACCTGGTAAGGTCACAAGGTCTGTTTTTGTTTTTGTTTTTGTTTTTTTTTGACGCGATCCCATTTCTGATCCTTTCTAATGCCTGGTAGAAAAATGGTGGATTCCTATAAGAACAATCCATGTCTATATAAGATACAGATATAAAGTCAAGTTTCTAAAATAAGTAAGTCAATTTAAGGTGTGACTTATTTAAAATAAATAGGTATTATAAAAATGTATTTAATTACCATGCACTTAGTCTAAAGTATGAAATATACTGGGTAAATTGAAGTGATTCGTGTCATATTCATCAGAGACACTTCCTATGTCAGGATAGAAATTTACATTTCTGTTTTACATGAATTCAAACTCTGTTGTATGGACTGTTAGTTCTCTGTACATGCGCACACCCACTTATGTCTTCTCTGTTAGTGTGGATCTAAAACTCCCCCATGAGGCTTACTGTGTTGAGGGCTTAGTCCCTAATGCAGCAACATTCACGTGGGACTTAGGGGGCATGATAGGAGAATGAAAGTACTAACTTCATCGATGGCTCCATCGCCCTGTCCATTAGGAGGTGGGCCTTGTTGAAGGGAGTGGGTTGTACAGGTGTGACCTAGGGGACCATATATGTCCCTGCTTCCTTTCACCCTGGCTTCTTCCCCTTTTCTCTGCTTCCTGGCTGTTTTAAGCTGAACAGCTTTTCTCTACTATACACTTCGGCCATGGTGTTTC